TGGTTTTTTTTTGTATAGTGAAGTGCGTTACTGCGCTCACGCAGTTTTCATATCGATTAATGTCGATTGAGTTTTATGACCTGAGTAATTCCCTTAACAAACCAATCCAGGTGGACGGCTTGTATGGAGTTTTCTATACGTGTTAATTTCCTATTATCCGCTATGAATAATTGCCAAATCTGCCAAAACCAAATTAAGTGTTTTGAGAAAATAGAAAATTCCAGGAACTTTTTTCAGGAACAGATTTCTTTTAAACTTGCGATTATAATACAAACTGATATACACTAAATTTAGAGTTGCATCCGCATCTGCCTGTAGTCCAATAGAGCAATACTTTTTATTTTATATTTCTTTCTCTATTCCCTCCACAAAGGGGTATAATAGGTCGGGGAAAAAGTTGTTTCGCATTTTAAATTGAATTTAAAAACATATATATGAAATTAATTATAAAACGTAACAACTAAATAACAAACGTTTCAAACAAACGTAAAACAAACAAACTAAATAACATAGTTTCCTCTATATAATATTAGAGACTTCAATGTGGTTTTGCAAAGGCCATAATTATGTAAGGTGATTACAAAAAAGGGATTAAATAAAAGTCAGTATGTAAAAATACACTTTTTATTCCAAATTCATGCACATCTACAGTTTTGTTTTCTATTATAAACACTGTGATAATCATGTGCTATCTATTAATCATCCATTTAATCGTTTCTGTAATCGAAAATATCCGTACAAAAACTTATAGAGACAATCGCAAATAATCGTATTATGAATCGTATAATTAATATATTATTATTGCTATACGTTTACAAATATATTTAAAAAAAAACAACCCTAATAAAAATCGAATTTTCCTTACAAAAGATATTTTATATTTTCCCTATCAATTTGTTTCAGTGACATGCATTTAATGTGCACTAAATGAAGACAAGCTTATATTTGATTATTTTTCCATTCACAATGCTATACTGAAAAATATTATTTATGAAAATTGTTTAAAAAATCCACTTTGTCCCATCTCAGAGTGCCAGGGGCAAAGTGGATTTTTAAGCAATTTTAATTAAGAATAAGATTATATTATTGGTAATTTATACTGGTCGGGAACTTATGTACTTATTGATTAACAGCCATCTCGTTGCAGGTATCCTTTAGCTGAAATTAGTTGAAAACTATATTGTAAATTTCCTCTTTATGTGTAAAACGACTCAATTTTTATTGTAAATTTCTGTCTAATCTACTGTACATCTAAAAAGTTTAATAAAAGTGAAAATAAACCTAACGTTGAAGTTGAATGCCGGATATTAACAAAAGTTTAGAGACTTTTTTTACTTTTATACTTTAGTTTGTATCTTCATCATCATTTTGGTTTTATGTCTGTGTTCTAGTCTATGGATAAAAAAGGAGGGTACAAAATAAACGTATTTGCGTATCCAAAACAAAGCAGCGCCGTATAATTAAAAAGAAAAATCTGTCCCAAGTTTAATTCCGTCGGTGGCCAAAGTTATTAATTCCATATTCATGGAGTGTTGCCATGGCACGCGATATTATTTCCCCGGAATTAATTCCAAACGACCCCATTAATTATGGAGCTTGCGGGCGGAGTGACGCTGCGATCAGCTGACAAATGAAGATCAGGCTTAGTCGAGTACTGACTATTCGTCAGTATGAAACAAGGACCAACTTAACTGGAATATCGAATAAAATCGCCACTCAACTGAAGTGGGTTCTTGAGTAAAATCGTCCATTATAAGTTCAGATTTAGACTTAATTTGCCCTTGATTTCGATGTCAACATAATTACAATGGGCTACTTAATGGTTACCCAATTAAAAGCCCCACTTAATAAGCATTTATGTAAGAGCTAACATTACGCTCATTTTTTTTAAATACCTACAATTACCTTTTTAAAGTTCTACCAATATAAAGAATTACCGTTATTATCAGCCAATAACATAATTGGTGATATTATTACTATTTGTTTGGCAAGAAAAAAAGACATATTTCATTGTCCCAAAAATATTTTATGGAAAACGCACAGATGGAAAATAATAAATACTAAAGAATAAAAAATAAAAAAATGGAACTCCTGATTTCGGTATTTTGTAAGTATTTAAAAGAAGCTGTATATGTAGAAGTCTGTCTTTGTCATATTGGGTTTTTATTTTCTATAACAGCAATTTTACAGGAATGGTATTTGTTTGTGTGTTATTTTTTCGTTTTCTTTTTTTTTTTTAAAAAGCAATGGCAATGTTAAAAGTTTTGGCTTAACTTTATTTATGGCGATGCATTTAAAGTTTTCCAAATTATTAGAAATTAAATATCGTAATTTGTGTTTCTATGCAATATACGATTTAGTATAAATTTGAAATTGGAATTACTATTATGCATCAAATGTATATTATCCCCTTCAAATACATCTACTGTCGACTTTGTTTCATTTAATTGTCTATTACCGACAGAGACAATCTCTGGTTTACTCTATTATGTTTCCCATCAAATTTATATTAGGTCGTCTTTCAAAATCCATTTAGCACATTTAAAATTGTGTTGCCATAATGAAATTAACGAGTAAAGACCAAGGAGGATGGTAAGCCCCTGCTGACAAATGCCTTTCATTTTAATAATCCCGCGTAAAACACTTTATAAGGCTACGTTACAATTTTGACATTATGCTTTAGAATATTTCATTAGGATATTTGATATTGAACAAGATAATTTATATACTTTGTACCAAAAGCTCTAGCCTGTTACTCTTGAAACAAATTAAAGTACAGCCAAGAAAGGCTATTGTTTGTAATTCGAATTCTTTTGTCTTTTGAGAATTGAAAATATGAAGATATGAAATCATAGGAAATGTGTAACAATATCAAAGCGATTGATTTATAAGAATGCCTCGAAAGTGATAAATATTCCTAGTACCCCTATAGTATATTCCTTGATCAGCTGTATCAGATAAAACGCAAGTAAAAGCTTTACCCTGGGTTAACGCTTTTAAAAAATCTACTTCAAAGTTCAATTCTAAACATTTGACTTTGTATTTATAAACCTTTTATAACCAAACATGGTTGTTGATCCCACGGTGGAAACAAACTATGTAGTTTACGTTAAATCAAGGTTTATATATAGTTGGCGGAGCATCTTAGCGAGCGCGATTCAAGCCAAATACATATTTTTGACGCCATCTTTTTATTGCTTACAGGAAATTTTTCGTCTTGCAATCGCTGATTCAGGATGCACCATACTTAAAATATCCATTAGAGGTTATTTAAGTAAAATCTCAAAAATGACGTTGTAAATTCATATTACCTACCTTCCAAAAAGAGTTCAATATTCTATTAAAATACTTGTGCCTTTATTGTACCGCAACCAGCTGCTACTCAAGTTGACTAAAAGTGCTATAATGCAACTTTAATATCCATGAAAAATAATAAACAAGGTTTAGCGTCAGAGTAAATTTATACTAAATTGCAATATTAGTATTAGTCCAAATTCATATTATACAGAGAATAAGAAAACTTACTACCTTCTAGGAATAAATATTACTGTCGTATTCCTTCGTACAAGGTTAACCTTTGCTAAGTCTTTGTTTAATAATATGAATTTTGACTAATACTTAGCGCAGTCTCAGCGTTAACTTACTCTGACGTTAAACCTTGTTTATTAATAACAATGAAAAAGATCAGTCTACTTAGACAAACAAGAAAATGTTCGAGTGTTCCAACTGAATTTTAAAATTTAACGATTAAATTTAAATAATAAAAAATTAACTGCACTCTAATAAAGGCATGCCATTGAAACAACACAATCTATTTAAGGGAGATACCCTGATATCGATTTACACAATTTACTTAAAAACCACTACATTATACCTTATGGAAAAGTTTCATAATAAAATCTATTATTTACATAATATTTACAAACGTTTATACACTACATAATGACAATTATATTATAAGTAGAGTTAATTTTATAGAAAGTTTACCAAACAGATTAACAAAGCATGTAACCTTTGGTGAAGATATTTAGAAACGTGTTTAATTAATTTTCAAATTAACAGCTACTCCTTCAGTGTTTGAATTTCAACATCATATTTTTCATTCAGTTTCAATAAAGAAATAGGTTATAAAATCAGTCGAATAAATTGAAAGGAAAAACTAAATAGTATCTAATATTTTAACTTTTAAAATCATTTATAATGAAAAAGATTATTAATTAAGTTACTTTATTGTTTACGCGTACTGATTTTATTAACACTTAAATAATTTTGAAAAGATTTATATGTAAAAAAAGCACTATGTTTCATTAACTTAAACATTGTTTCTAAGAATAAATTTAAAACGACAAATTGGCGCAATTAACAGCTCATTGTCTTTTATAGAATCAAATCGAGTCAAAATGTTGTTTCAATTTATTATCAATTCGTTACAAAGATGTCCGATTTCGTTTTGTAATGGTTGCATTCTTGTTAACAATAGTCAATGAAGTTAATTAAAAGCGTATTGAAGATAATGGCAAGGATTATATTTAATCCTTGCCATTATCTTAATAAGAGCTTCAACATGGGAAACCATTAATTTATAGTGTTGATAGTATAATGAAGTTGATGGTTATTTTAACTAGAATATAAAAATGCGTGTTACTTTATGAAGAAATATGTATTTTTTTAAAAAAACTCAAATCATTCTATGAATTCAAGTAAGATTTTAATATTCTATTAATATAGTATTAACATTAATCGGTTGATAAAACGGTTAACTGAAATTATTCTTATAATATAGTATATAACTGGACGTTCGATATAATTGGGGCTGTTTTGTCGTCGATTCTGTTCACATAAATATTTGATTAATGGTATAGACCACATACAAATAGACGATAAATCGAATATTGAAAAAAAAATATCACCTTCTGAGCAAATTAGTCTCTCACATAAATAAAAGAGACTAATTTGCTCACCTCAGCTTCATGGACGATGAAGATAAATGGAAGAGAAGTTGAGAAAAATATTCAAACAGAATTCAATCTTTTATATTTTTACCATTAATCGTTGAGACTCGGTTTGCTTTTTTAAATGCGAAATTGTAAAGATATATTTTTTTATTTCGATTTACTTATTTTAAATTTAAACGTATAACAATGATATATAAAATGAAATAAAATGTTGATTGTAAAAATGAAATGTTTAAATCTGCTGTGCTTTATATATACAGTAAGTTGTACTTTTGCAAATATAAATAAACAGTTTTGAATAAATTTGTAAAAGTATATAAGATTAAAATTCTGCTTGAAAATCCTTTCAATGCCAAATATTTTACAGAATAAAAGAAATATAAAAAAGCTAAGAGACACTGTATAACTTTAAAATTGAATGAGTATGCCCAATCCCCAATCACTATCCCAATGTTTGTCCACCTGTTAATGTTGAACAAGTTCTAGTTCAGGTTTATTTGTGTAAAGCCACTAACTGGGTTACTATTGTTGATTCAACAATGTACACGTTGTAAAAGAGATGAAGTAGAACATATACCACTATCGAATAATCTAAGCAAACAGTAAAATTGAATTATATCGAAAATAAGATTTACAGAGTGAAAAATGAATATCTTTGTAACTTTCCATAAAAATTGCAAATGTAAACTTAAATTTCCTTGTTTAAATACGAGTGCTCATGTCCAATGGTGCACATATCAAGTTATATCAGTTTACAATTAGTGATAACACCAAAACTGAAAATTAATCAAAACATAAAGTTTGTATGACAAATTGTGCGATTAGTTTAAAAATTAACTAACAAGATTATACACAGCCCTGAAAAAACAATATCTGAAAAGAAAATGATTTTATTGAGAGCGCATAGCTTAATCAATAACATAACTGATGATAAAAGTAACTAAAATATGAAAAATATTATGCTAGATTTGACTAGAAAAATATTGGTAATGTATATTATTTGTTTCACAAAATGGTGAACAAGAAACATCCCTCCAATGTTTTTGAACAATGGGGTTCGTTACTAAACGAAACTTTCACGCAAACTAATTCAATTTCTTCAATTAACAATTGCTCCAATCAGAGTAGTTCGTTACTGAATAACAGTCGAGGGATGTGCATTGTTGCTTTAACACGAGAACTGTACATAATAACTACTTAAATTCAGTCGCTTTATCACTTCATTAGCGTCTAAACTGCCCTGTTCACGAATTATCGTCACGGCGACGTCGTCAGATGTCATTGGCATCACCTACATAACCCTCGTCAGGACTTTCCGAGCATATGTCCGACGCGCATTTAGCATTTGACACTTGGGGTAAAGGTTTCAGAACATTTTCCGTTCCCTCGCCGGGCACTCGAGCGTCTGTCGTCTGTGTGTCTACACACCGAGTTTCAACTTGGTAACACCTGCCTGGTGCTTCAGCCACACCCATCGGAACCATCACTGCACATGTCCCTTTTGGATTCACCCATGAAGTGCACGCTTCAGCTGGCGCACAACATTGTACAGGTTCCGTTTTGTAACCCTCAGGAGGGGACGGAACAAACTCCTCATTATAATACACTGTTCCGTTTCCTACGAAAGCTATCGGCCGATTTCTTGGCACGGGGTAACCTTCCAAAGTTCGCCGCACGTTCGGAGCGTTGAATACCTCGAAATTAGTACAAGGAGGGGGTGTTGCGTTGAATTCCGTATCTTTGGCAAATTTGCAGACAAGTTTTTGTCCTTTAGTTCTATTATGCGGCAGAGTTTGATAGAAGGGACCAACCACTGAATAATTAGACATAATAGGCGCTCGACAAGGGTGCTTAGGTAGGCCATAGTCGTAAGGATAACCGTCGCTATCTAAAAAGCAACCTGGGTTCAAATGTACGTCAGCAGAATGTTGATACAAATTATTGATTGTGTTTTGTGGTATATTAACGCTGTTTAAATTCTGTTGATCTTGCCACGTGACCTGCCTCGGCATAGTAGGTGCGGTAAATGCGGTTTCCTCTTCAAATCCATCGCCGCCCGCTGTTTGCGTTTTATACACAGAAAGTACAGTGTTCTCGTTTTGTGCATTGTTAGCGACTGTTTCCGCGTCGCTAATTAGGTCAGGATTCCTGTCGACGAAACCTTTCATGTTATTGCTTTGATACACATCGTTGGTTTCGTAATCACGGGTTGTTTGTTGCACAGTGTAATGTAGTGCGTGGTGCGAATGAGCATTGACTATTAAGCTTCCATTGTTTTTCGGTAATGTGCCATTGCTTCTGTTAGATGGCAATATTTGGTTACATAAAGCGACGTCCTTTCCGCTTTCTTTTTTCTTCCTACTCCTCGTGTCTGTCTTGAACTTGAGTAATACTACGGCAATTATGGCTATAAGTAACACAATAATTAGGAATACGACTGTAACTATTACCACTAAGTGCCTCTGAGGGAACGTCACAACAATTACTACCGGTTCTTCCTTCACTATAATCCGGAGCGTGTAATTAGCAATCGACCTCCCCGCCGGGTTTTCTGCGACGCACGAATACGTTCCGTTGTCATCGTTACCTATATTGAATATGTACAGTTCACTTTTTTTATCCGTCACGCCATTTTCGACATAATAAACATCCCGTGGCTCCGAAGACATCATGGTATAATTATGTATGATTTGACCTTGATATAGCCAAGTTATTCTCGCCTCTGGGATAGCTTTAACCAAGCATTCGAGTGTTACGTTACTGCCTGCGTTCGTCTCTAAAAATACTGATGTGGGCGTCATTTTTGGCAAACAAGCCAATTCCGCTTCGGCGACGCTCGTTATTACGCGTTTTTTCAGTCGCTCTGGAAGCGAGCAAACAGGTTCAATTGTATGAGGCATATTGAAACTTAATAACCAACTATGCAAATCCCTTAAATGGCAGTCGCAATTCCAATAATTATTTTCCAAGTCGATACCACGCAGAGTGTCAGGAAATAAGTTTTCACCTTGAATATTAGATAGTCGATTACCATTCAATCTCAGCCATTCTAAATGATTCAATCCTGAGAACGCTTCCCTCTCTATGATTTCGATCTTACAACCGCTCAGTTCCAGCGTATTCAAATATGATAAATGTTGAAAGCAGTGTGTTTTTATGCTAGTTATTGGATTATTATTCAAAGAGAGACGCATGAGCGAAGGGAAATAAAGAAAATTCGTGGAAGGAATCACTGTAAGGTAATTATTAGACAAATCCAACTCAACAAGGTTTGCTAAACCTTTAAAGGCGTGACTATCGATTTTCTGTAATCTACATCTTTGTAGATAAATTTTTTGTAAGTCGAGCAGTCCTAATTTCAGAAAAGTTTCCCTTTGTAGCACCTGGAGGTCGTTGCCCGAAAAATCAAGGACCTGAGTCTCGGAGTCTAGCGATTCTGGTATTGACTTGAGTTCCTTGTCCGAGCACTCGACGTATCTTTTGCCGTTCTTCCACTTGCACACACATGAGGAGGGACAAGCGATGGCCGGAACTAATATGCAGGTCGTGCACAAGGCGATCAGCCTGACGTGTAGATTCCGTTTGATTCTCATATTGCCTCAAGGCATTAGTGCTTCACTGTATACGAGGAACATTATCTGAAACAATAGAAAAAGTACTTTTAATATCAGGTTCTATTACTTTGGTTGATTTAGTATATTTTTAATATCTTAGTTTTTAATTTGAACCTAATTTATTTCTACTATTTCCAAGAAATTGTGCAGAATAGTGTATTATCTGGTTGACTGGGTTTCATTTTGTTTCTGTTGGCAAGACATCAGCGCGTCGGCATCGCGCCCGTATCGCAATAAAACCTAGAGAAATTGCAACATCGCGAATGCTCGTTTAAAAACATCAAGAATCGAACTGGAGCGACTTAACGGAGTGTTAAATTAAAAGAAAGTATTTGTTTAGACAGTGACGAAGGTCCATGAAGATTCTTTTATTTAATTTCGAAGTGACAGTTGTCCAAATGCAAGACGTAGTTCTTTGTTTTTTGTTGAATTTTGGCCTCAGAAAGTGAGTTACATTTGGTATTCTGTTGCATTATTTATGGGTATCGAGCGATCGACCTCGCGTTCCATTTAGTATTTGTTTGTTTATTTCCTGTTTGCGTTATTTCCCTGATAATTCGTAGTCGGTTTTTCGTTACATTATCTAGTGTGAAATTTTCGAGACTACAGTAAACTACTTAATAATGAATGATATTTACAGTAAAACCAAGAGGGAGTTTCTCTTAAAAATAATTCCCCGAAAAGAATAAATACTATTTGTTCCTTTGATTGTTCGATAAATATGTAAACAAACCTTTTGTTTGAGGGAGCCAATTTTGATTTATACGTTCGTCGAGTAAATAAAATTTTCTGAATGATTTACGTGAATGTTTTCTAAATGTTTGTCGGCGGAGAGCAAATTCCTCTCTATTGAAAATTTTTGGTTGTGCCTGTTTTTGGCCTGAGTCACGTTTGTTTGAAGGCTTTGTATAATTTTGCTTAGTACGTAATAAGGTCTATTTTTGTATGTCGAACTATATATGTATATTTATTATGAAATTTAATATATCAATTCTTGTTATTAGAGTTGTATTGTATTAATGCATAAATGTACTACCCTATTTAAATTCGCTCGATATTTTTATTCATTACAAACATGAAATCAACTTATTGTTTTTATAAAGACAACAAAAGGCTACAAAAATATATATGGAATTACATTAGCCAATTTTGTATTGAAATAACGCTTGGTATTGTATACTTTTTTATTAACGTCGTAACGCAAAGTCGATGCAAAATTTATAACAGACCTCCAGTTTTATATAGTAAAAAGCACATTAGTTATTAATCGACCTTTCCACTTGATTTAAATTATTAATTCATTGAAATTAAGAAACGGCAAGTGTAATAAAATCTGCATCAAACTCGACGTAATGGATATTCAATTAAATAAAACCTACTTCAAAAGGCAATAATAAAGGTTACATATCTTTGAAAATCTATACAGTGAGTTCTTGGTATTAAATTCAAGTTTGATAATAAAGGTTAGAAAAGTAAATGTACTGTGTGTCCATCACAACATGTTACTTGCACCACTTAAATTTAATCTAACCTAGAAAGTATATCTGATTTTCGCACACCAAAATATATAAGACATAATGATATATTTATAAGAATCAAAGTACCTAATCCTTGCGGGGGTTATTTAAGCAGATGTGAACCTAAATCGAGTTAATCTTTGAAGACCCTCGGGAGCACATTGTGTGCCTCAGTTAGATTTATGTTTACTGGAATAGTTATCGGCGAATAACCAATTCTGGTTTTCTACGTTCTACTATAAATTATCAGTTAAAATAAAGTAACGACGATTCTATTACATTAAATATTAGATGAAATCAGACATTGTTCAGATCGCATACTAAGCAGATGTTTATTGTTTATTATAACTAGATAACCTTGACTCTGTTGTTACGATCTGCCAAGTTAATTAATTTCTTATTAGTTAAAATATGTCTAGAATAAAATAGTAAGAAGCACTGTTACTGGTTATTTGAAATGGTATTATTTTTCATAAAATAATTACATCCCTCTTCTTTAATGGTAAAAAATTGAAACAGATCAGAATATCAGATAGCATCAGTAATATGCGAGCAGATGCCAAGGTCTAGAAGGAATACCCTTGATTTCACATGTAACAATGAAAACCTCGAGCACCACCGAAACAAAGAGATGGTTTGAGTTTTTTATTAGACAAGTCATAGTAGGTAGGCATATTGTTATTGTTCCAGGAAAGGGTTCGGATTGATAATAACCACAAGTATCCACTGAGTTCTCGCCCATTTCTATCGCTCTGGCTCGCATGTTGTTAATTGTATAATACCTGAATCAATACGCATTCTTTTCTTCTTTTTATCATAGGAATCGTATTTAATGCTATAAAACTGTATATGTGTACAATGTGACGCTAATTTAAATGATTAAAAAGTTATATTTTTGAAAAAAAAAAAAACTGTTTTCTTTGAATTTATTATCAAAAACCTTAGGAACTATTTGTATTTATTTATTTTATTGAAAAAATTTTTGAATCGTCAAAATTGTTTCCCTCCAAAATTTTCGTTTCTAATAATTTTCTCGTTCATTTTGTATTTAATTGCTTAGTCTGTATAAGCTGTATTAGTTAGAGAGCACCGAATCCTAACATACAGGGCAACCTAATTCGGGAGACAGGGCTAATTGATTTGTTACGCTATGTAGTTATTCAATAAATAATAATAATAATTATTATTACTAATCGTTCAGGGCGTCATTTTAACTCACACGAAGAACGAGCAATTTATTACCATTAGGTATTCTCTACCAGTCAACCGGCGAGACATAGCAGAGAGTTGTATAAATGTGCAACAATCAAACAAAAAACACTCAATTACAATCCTATAACAGATTAAAATTGCAACCAACGAATGTATACTCATATAATTACATACATTACCTTAAAATATGAAGAAACTGAAGTGGCTATTCAAATTTACTTTACGGATGGTCGAAATATTTCATCATTATCCGTTACATTGCTAGGTTTGCGTAGTAGCTATATTGCTACGAGGTAGCTACAAGCTACGAGTATTTGCTACGTCACTGGAGCAGAACGAACAAAAGGGTGTCGTTCAAATGTTCATGCGCTTTCAATAGTGTGACTAGTTCAATATTACCAATTTATGTATCAGTATTTCTGAATATACAATACAGTATTATATTCGTAAGACGAATTTAGTTGAAGGACTGATTTTCGAGCAATGCAAAGTGTAACGGATTTCTCCTATAATTTTGGTTTGAGAAAAGAAATTAAAAAATATAAATGGTGTACAATTTATTTTTGAATGAAGTGAAATAACAATTTTTAAAATTCAATTATAATTTTTATACAAATTACAAATGATTAATTCCAAACTACTAAGTACAAATTACCAATTACAAATCCCCAATTACAAATCACCAATTACAAATCACTAATTACAAATCACTAATTACCCCCTTTAAGTAAAAAAAGGTATTTATTTGTTTGACCTTGGCTTCGCTGCCGTACTCAGAAGGAGTACGGCAACACAACAAACCGGGGGCTGTCTGTTGTCCTACGGTCTCACTGTCCAGCGTTATAAGTCGTAGACAGAAAATAACATTTATTAAACTTAATGTTACTAAACACAAAAATAGTTGGGCACAGCTCAATGTTCAGCTTGTCTTTTGTTTAAATAAATTTAATACAATTTCTTCCACCTCAACAACAAAACAATCAGGTGCTCCTTTTTATTCAGCTCAGTAATGTAGGTGGGTCAAACCACAGATACCCATCCACATGGAGCGATATAGCATTTACATACGGTTACTGGTGGTACCGTCAACCTGTATCGGACAACTCGCACCAGGCAGCCAGTACAATACAGCCAGTACCAGACAGTCAGGATAATACAGCCAGTACCAGACAACCAGTACAATACAGCCAGTACCAGACAGCCTCTCGGTTTGAGAGGCGAAAAATTGCAAAAGAACACTTATGCGACCGGCGCCCACAAATCCGCAGCACTGCTCGGCCTTCCTGCTTCAAAATCACCACGAATGGAAGCCCACGTATTCAACAAAACGAGCCGAGACACGGTAGACTTGTAGACTTCTCTTCACTCTTAGATGATCAGCAGAATAAAAGGAAAGACAAAGCCGGGTTCCGACTTAAATACGATTTCCATTTCCATTCGACTCAAGCGACCTGAACAGCTGTTAAATGAAGCAACTCCGTTTCACGGACAACACACAATGGCTACAAATTTTGACCTTTAAAAATTTAATAGGAAAAATACATAAATAAAATATTTATGTTTTATTGAATTGAAAATAAAATTATAGGACACATGCAAATATGCATGAAAAAACTGACAAAACCCTGCATACAAAGGAATATAACTAGGTGACAACTTCACACTATTGCTTTATTTTCTTAATTCAACGTTCTAAAACCTGAAGTCTGATTTAATAATTTTGTTATAAAAAAGTGAGTTTTCGACATAGCTATTTATTTTAATTTTAACGAATTGATCATATTCTATAAAGAAGGTCAAATACTACTTAATTGTTATTAAAAATAGGGAAAGAAATTTAATTTGGAAGAAAATATAAATATGTAAAGGTAAATTCTAAGGTTAATTACGGCTTTCGGAACGTACACCAAGTGTCAAAATAAATGCTTTGGTGTTTTGTAAACAATAGGTTCAATTTTATTTTGTAGAATTAATAAGGTTATCTCTAATGGAAGCAAATGAGAAAATAGTTAAAGTTATAATTTTAAGACAAACTATTGGTTCTATTTCGTATCTTGGTGGTTGATAGATTGGTAAATACGAGTGGAAGGTTGTCACCGGTTAAGGAATAATGAAATTAGATTAGTGAAAACAATTTTTATGCCCTAATGGCTTTACCAGAAAAATATGGTAAGTTGACATCCTAAAAACAATGTTTAGAAATCACAATATACTTGAACATTACTAGACAAGAGTAATAAAATGTTGTGA